ACGAGTAAAACTCATAGTTTTTGACAAACCTCGTATACCACTGAAAAAATTTGATATTTGATGACTGTATTCTAGGTTTTATATAATGCAGAACTTTTTATGAAGAATAACTTTTTTCCTAAAATTAATAATAAAAAAGTTTTCCATATGATTCCAACTTTATAGTGACATACTGTATATTATACTTATTTGTCTAAAATCTAAACTGTTAGTTCAGCTAAACATAATATGAATACGAAGAAGATGAAAATGTTGATATTCATTTTGATACCAGATAATTTTGGTCTAACAAAAAGCTTTTGTGTTATTATAATAATATATTATATTAAAATAAGCATGACGTGTTTTTCCAAACCAACAAAATAAAGAAAATTGTAACATAATTTTCAACAAAAATCGATAATTTTGGCAGCACAGCAGGATAATTTCTTCATCGGCTGGTGGCAACACTGAAAAGCATGCTATTATGAATAGAACAGAAGTAAAAGTTGGAAATGCTTTTGCCAGTTCTCCCACTTTATACACATAAATTGACAGGTTGGCAGCGGATATCACCGAAGTGTACGCGATACATTGGCGTACAAAATTATTTTATAGATGTTAATAACAATTTCGAGTAAATAGTTTAATAAATTGTGAATAGCTGTTGAAATTTTGTAAAATTATGATTTGAATATTATAATACATGTTTAATAATTATTTATAATCCATAAATACATGCGATTGTCCGGTTCCGCCGATAACAATTTAAAATTACTTATTCTATGAAACGACACTGGCAGGTAAACATTACTGCGAAATTCTCGGAGCCGCCCGACGTGGTTTGACGTTTACCCCCTCTCTACCTACCAAAAGACTTTTCAACTTTTACTTTCTCTATACAAGGCAGTAATGTAATAAGATTACCTCAACCAGTGAAAAAAAAATACCTGTTTCTAATTAATTGAAACAACCATTAAACAATAAATACCAAACCGTATCACCAACAATAATACAATACCTAAATCACACAAAATAAGTAGGTTTATGAAGGTAGGGCTATCGTAAAAACGACATAAATTTCTAGCGAATAACCTACAAAGGACACGGATTTTAACGTAAATTGTATCATACAACCTACTTAATAATCTTAATAACGTGAATTTAACTATTGTCTTATTAAACTAAAGTCTATCAACCTTTAACACTAATAAATTTAGATTTAAAAACTAACTTACTTTCTTTTAATCCACACTTATCAAATAAAACTCATTCACGGTATTCACAGGACGCAAACAAACTATAAAATGGCCGATGCCGATGGTAGAGATGCGCACGATGTATATCGATGTTTAGAAAACAACGATTTTTAGGTTTCGATTATCGATGTTTAACATCGATGTTTTTTATTCCGATGTTATTTGTTAACATCGATTTTTCAATTCACATCGATGATTTTCTTTTCAATGTTTTTTGGTTATTTGTAAAGCGTCACGTTTCAATTGATGGTTTGAATTCGTTTTTTTTTTGCTCTTCAATGAACACTTTTGGAAAACATCGATGTTTACAGACACAGCGATGTATGGAAAAACAAACATCGCTATTTAGAAAAATCGATATTTTCTTTTCCGATTTTTTTACCATATCGATAGTCTGTATTTGATGTCAACATCGATGTTTTAAAAAATTTGCGCATTCCTAGCCGATGGCACTTGTGAGGGCAGGAAATATCCACGCCTGCGCTCGCGTTCATTGCCAATATTATTTATCTACTGGATATCTGTGAGATATTGAATACAACTTACTAATTTTAAATTTCTACATACTTTTTTAGTTATCACATGGCGTAATATTTAAATAATTTAATAATGATTAAATCAATTTGTATATTTTATGTACAAATTATATCCATAAATTATACATCCAGTGAATATCCACCATGATTTGCGTTCGCGCCTAGACTTTGATATATTTAGTGGATATCCATGTGATATTGAATACATTTAAAAAAAAACTTATTTGAAATATCTAAATGGTACTATTAGCCATAATGGCGTAATTTTTTAATAATTTCTGATGGAATTACTATAATTTATGGACATTTGCATGTCTATAAATTACATCTCATGGATATAAAATAAATATCCACCATGGACTGGACATTCAGTGGATATTGGGATGTTCAGTAGATATCCAAAGGATTTGGTGTGCTGTATGGGTAGATCAAAGTAAAGCTTGTATTCTGACCTTTCCATTGATATAAGTCAATCCCCATATCCGTTCTTGGTTCTAAAATTCTAAAAAGGTTGTTACAATTATATACTTCATTTTTACGCTCCCCCTCTGAGATCCATGATATATAATATAACATAACCTCGTGTACCCACGCGTCGATAGTTGTCTGCATATGTTTGTAAACAATCTCTGTTTTGGAGTCGTCGGCTTGACCGGATTATTGATGTACTGATGATATTTTTTCATTATTTATTTTGAATTATTTATTTAAAATAAAATAAATATTATTCATTAAATTAATTCAGTTATAAAAAAAGAAGTGTTTAAAGTGAAAAATTTCCACGTTATTCTTGTCAACAAGAAATAATATTCAAGGATTTTTTTGCTGGAAGCAGAAAATAAGGTTTGTTTTATTTTGCCTCAACTTTAAAAACTTGTTCTAACGGTTGAATCATCTATTTTTTGGTAGCTCTTGGTGTTGTTGAAATGGAAGCGGATTCCGTTCCAGAATGCTTTCTTTGTAAGGAGGGTGTTGTGGATGATGGTGTAAATATAACTCGTGGTTTAGAAAATTTGATTCGAGTGAGCAAGGAGACTATATTCGCGAACGGAGAAACCGTTTTGCTGTCAATTTACAAATTGCCAACGGAAATAAAGATTCTCCGGTCCTGGACGTTCAACCACTTGTCCACAAACAAAACTGCAATAAAACTAGAATGCTTGCCCCCTACCGCTAAAGCTGCTAGGCAGCACTTTTATAGGGTATATTTACAAGTACAGAATTGGCTGGGGAATGAACTGTCACCAGAGGAATGGGGCTGGAAACGTGCAGGGGAAATGCATTACCGGTCCAGACCACACAGGATCCGGCCCCACCGGAACTCTTGAAGATGATTTTTTGTCAGTGTAAGATAGGCTACGAAAAGAATTGTTCATGTTTGAAAGCAGGTCTGAAATGCTCGTTCATCTGTGGTTTGTGTCAGTTGACACAATGTTCAAATTATAAAAGAAATGAAGGTATATTCCCAGAAGAATTAGAGGTGGAAGTAGAAATAGAGGTGGAAGAAGAGACAGAAGGGTTGCAAAGTGTGGAGGCAGAAATACAAATGGAGGGAGAGAGAAAGGACGACAGGAGGAATGGTAGAAATGGAGCAAGAGGCGACAAGAATACCGTTGACGATGAAGAATATGTATATGATTCTGATGACTTGGAATGATTGACCACACCCTAAAGATTGTTATGTTTGTTTTATACCCAACCAATTCTTCCAAATAAATGTAATTTTTCAAAGACTTGCGTATTTTTGCCGAAATCCTGCACCCATATTATTCCGAAAAGAGTTTGCAAAAAAAATCGCGGAAATGCAAAAAATGTTTAGAATGGTTGTATGGTGAATATTCACCACGCTCTAAAAGTTGTCATTTGCTTTTAGCCTAAACAACGGGATTCAAGACCTTGGCACAAGGAAAAATAAATTTTTGCAATTTTCTGGTAAATTTGCAACTCAAATTGCACAGAACATTCGCTAAGACAATTGAGAGAGCCCAAGCGCTACTTTGCAGAAAAAAATCAGGTGAAATCTGCAATTGGTCTCTAAAGTCCAAAAGATGAAAATCAATGCATTTCCAATCCCATCGAGCGGAAGTTTGGCAAGAAACTACCATATCTATTCAATATGAAAATTATGGATTTTTCGAAGTCTGATTTTGCAAAAAATATTGGCATTGCGAAAAAATTGGTAGGGATCATTTTTGTAGAGAATGAGCTGATCTTCATTTTTTGTCTGAACAAAAATTCTCTAATTGGCATATTTAGCCAGATATTAGCGTGAAAACCCGTTTTTCAGGGTTTAGGGGTACATTTTCAGCCCCTTCCGGTACCAAGAACGCGATTTTTTCATTTAAAAACACCTGCAATGATTTACAAATTGAGCTACGTGGGAACTCATCAGCAATTTTTTTACAGCTATCGATCTTTTCAGTCCTTCATTTACTGGATTATATTGCCAAATTTGCAATACAAAAATGTATTCTTTAAATACAGGTAGAAGAAAAAATTAAACTAAATGACATCTCAAAATGTTTAAAAGCTTAAATTAATAATCGATAATAAATGGCTAATATACTTTTTGTTGCTGATTTTAGAACCAAATTTCATAATTTAAAATTAATATCCCTATTGAAATGTTCATTTTTCAAAAAAATTAACTTACATATTATATTCTTTCATGCATTGAAGTGTGTCCTGTACTCATATTTTCAGAGAAATTGGTATATTATCAAGTGGAATTGGAAAAGCAAACTACTGTGTTATTGAAAACAAGATATTTCAATTTTTTAGAAGGAACTATTACTATTATCTTGTTACACTATCAATTTAACTATGATTACTTTATAAAAATAACAAATAATTGTAGGATCTGATTACAATATGACAAATTAATTACTTGGCTATGGCTGCTTACTGATAGTTTAGTGGAGTATTAATATTATAGGAATATAGACAATATTTTGTTATATCTAGCAACTTACTTATTCTTTATTTATTAATAGTTATAGATAACATATATTGAAAGTAATGGTTATGATGTAGGGGTGTTCTTCTTACTGTGATCAGATTCTATCATTGCATTACCTGTTAGGTGTTAGAAAAAAAGGCAGACATCCAAAGAAATAGGTGTTATAACTGGATATAACAAGCAGCATATTGTAAACAAGTGAAAAAAATGGCAGAAGCCATCTGCTAAGAGAGTCTGAATCAAATGAAAAAAATAGACAATGCTTACCCCTGGTGTAGCTTTAAACAATGTCGGAGTCTCCACATCAACAAAATGATTATTAACTAAAAATGTTCTCATTTTCATGAACAGTTCTGACCTAAACCTCATATTCCTCTGCATCTGTGGAAATCTTAAGTCCAAATACCTATATTGCATTCGTAAAGGTTCTTTGGCTTTCTGAAAATCCCTAATATTAAAAGGTAAGATATCTTTTGACTTGTTAAGAACTTTAACGTTATCTATAATTATTTCTATCTCTCCGGTGGGAAGATTTTTATTAATCATTTCATGTGGTCTATTTACAACTTTACCTTTTACTTCTAAAATTGATTCATATGGTATGGTTGACAGTAAAGTTTGTGTTTCTCGATCCTAAAATATAAGTTAACATATCGTTCCTGATCAAATTTTAAATCAATACTTGCATTTTCTTTTACTAGCAACTGAACACGTCCATATCCATCTCTCAAAACAATAAATTTGCCCATTCGTTGAAACTCCAGCCATCCACTCAATGTTACATTTTCGCCGATATTTTTACTTCCCAATTCACCGCATGTATGTGATCTATTTGTATACTTACTAGGGCTTGTGGGAGTGACATTGATATCTTCTTTAAGAGGTGATAAAGACACTTTTGAAGTATTAATTATTGATCTAATACTTTGGAAATTAAAGAAATATACCTACAAAATGTTATTATGGTTTCTGAATAAAATTAAGTTCATAAATACTTACAGTCTTATTTATTCCTGAAATTTTAAAGTGTTGTATACACTGACATAACTGTTTAAAATTAAAACGTTGGAAGGTATTCATTATGTAACAAGATTAATCTTATAATAGATCATTGCTTTTTTAATTTTAAAATCATATTTTACCTTATTTAAATTTGAATTATGTGAATTCAAAAGTTAGGTTAAGCACCAATAAGTATGAAGTATGATCTATCAAACTCTTCTTTTTGTACTAGTTTTGGCCTCCACCTATGCATAACGACTAGGTTTTTGCTCAATATTAACTCAAAACGTAGACCCGTATTTATAAACAAAACTCAGCTGAGTCGGACTTGGGTAAGTCGTCTTTGAACGAAAATCGAAGTTCGGTTATATCACATGAATTTAGAGATGGGTAGTAACAAATCCGTAAATGTACAAAACAGTTACAGATTTCCTAATATAAATTCCAGTTTAACACCAGGGGGTCGATTCTCGACTCGTAGGAATATTTTCCTATAGGAATTTTTGACATTTTTACATACATCGAAAATTTATGACATCTGTCTACATATAGGAAAGTGTCACAAATTCCTATAGGAAAATATTCCTACGAGTCGAGAATCGACCCCCAGAACCACCTAGAACTTTAGAGACGTTGTAACCGAACTTTGATATTAGTTCAAGGACGACTTACCCAAGTCCGACTCACGTAAGTTCTGTTTATAAATACGGGCCGTACTGTTTGTTTGCTTATCGATGTCCTATTTCCACATACTTTGATTACTATACGGGGCAAGAGAGAGGTCCGACACGCCCAACATAGGGCGCGGCCATTTTGAACCCTATGACACAGTTTATAGCTAAAGAATCAGATCGGTCACTCTGCGTCGGCACTTTTTATCTCAATGTTCCAGTTTATACCCTGCACAACTCAGATAATACAATATATGACAACCGCCTATAATAAAACAGCAGTCTTCTGCGTATCCTGAATTTGTATCCCTAGAGTAATTATTTTGGAACTTTCAACTAGTCCGAGTGAGCTAACTGATTCTTTAGCAATAAACTGTGACTCCAAAAATAATATTCACTGACATTAGGTTCTTTCGTTCGTCCCACTGGTGTAGTTGGGTGTAGTAATGAACTACACCAACCCACACCCATACCTTTCGTTTGGTCCGGTGTAAAACCCACTATGCCTTCCTGTCGGCGATGTGGTGTACACTGGTGGATATTTTCTCCACCAGCTATTTAGCAGGAGTGAAATACACTCGACGATGTGCATAAGGAATAAGGAGGAAGTAAATTAGGGTAAATAGGGTGGTGTAACTGGTGTAATTTACACCGGTGGACACTACACCAATAGCGAACGAAAGAACCTACTGACAGCAGCAAGCAAAATATCAGGTGCGTTTTAATCATCCGCTTCTGCTTCCGGAATTGTCGGTTCAGTCGTTCTAACCTGTCAGATTAAAACAAGAAAACCGACAATTCCGAAGCAGAAGCGGATGATTAAAACGCACCTATTAAAAATATTGCGCCAAGATGTAGGCAACACGTAATAAGGGTTCAAAATGGCGGAGTTTTCTATCTCCTTTTAAAAGGCACTCAGAAAGCTGCGCAGTGCGACCATTCTCCGTATAGTAAAAGAAAATCAAAGTATGTGCCTATTTCTAATAATAGGACGTATCACAAATGATATCACGATTTACTTACGTGTTCTTTAAATAAAATGTGACATATTGGGTTTTAGTGTGTCAAACGCTTATCCACAGCACGGTCTTTCCCATATATATCTTTATCGGTTATAATGCCGCGTTTGAGAATCCACATCGGATGCATCTGAGATATAGCAGAGACAATGTCTCTGGATATAGTAAATCTTTGATCACGTGATTCAGTATACGTAAATGTAATGGGATAGATGTGTCCGATGTGGATAAAAAAACGCTCGAGATATAAAAAATGCATCCGATGTGGATTTTCAAACGCGGCATAAGTAGGTAAGGTTATGTTTGGCACAGAACACTGTGGCCTCTTATATAGCAGTTATAAAATGCGTACGTAAATTTGTTGTATAAATAATCCTGAAGATGCTCTTAAAATTGCTCTATAATAGTTGGATAATTTTCTTATAGAATTTCTATAAAACCAAAATTATGTATAAAATAGGATCCTTTTTTGTATTAGTATTACTTATATAGCAGTTTTTAAACGCATACATATTTTTATAAGATATGTTGTGTAAGACTTAACAACCTTATTATTACTTTTTCTTGTTGGGTACTGTACCAAACGTCTGCCCTAATTATTTCCCTGAAGTTCAGATTATATAATGGACATACACAAAATCAGTAAAAGAAATAAATTGTACTATTAAATTTATATTTTAGATATAACATAGATACACTTAATTTATTATAATACAGAATTAGAGCTGCGCTCCTTTAATTCTTTATCAATCTTTTCACTTTATACTCAGAATGCTCAGCAAACTCGTAATAGCAAACAAACTAATAGCACAATTATAAACTTCTTGGCTATCCAACTCGAAAAAAGTTTCTTTATTTTTCTTTATTTGAGTATGTGCAAATGAAAAAATAACCATCGATGCCAATCCTGCGAAATTGTCGTGTATTAAGGATAAGGCTGCTATTGTTGATACGTTAACGGTGACTATAGTGTTTTTTAACTCCTCAGTTATAGGCTTATGTTCGAAAATGAATGAAAGTAATGGGGAGAAAGAAAGTAAAACATTAAGAAGGGCAAGTTCTTTCATGTAGCCGTATGCGACCCATATCGTAGATGATATACAAGGAAGAAGGAACAGATCTTGAATTGTTTCCATTAGTTTGGATATTGAGTCTATATCTATATCGACATGTCCTAAAAATATAAAGTTAGTTATTGCTTTTAATTGCCGCGTTTGAGAATCCACATCGGATGCATTTTTTACATCTCGAGCGTTTTTTTATCCACATCGGACACATCTACTACATCTACATCTGCGTTTGTTTATCCCAGATGTAGTTGTCCAGATTACATTTTTTACATCTCGATTTGAAATGAGATGTGAATGAGATGTTCGTTCCATGCCAGAAACTAAGTGTTCTGTGAAGCCAAGTTTGTCAATTTATCCTTTGTTTATGCTAGCATGAATATAAAAGTGACTAGTTTGTTTAATTTTTGTTTATATTTCAAATTTAGGTTGATTTGTAGTCTCAAAAGTCAAATTTAATAAGTATAAACTTCTAACTTGTCATTGCCATTTTATCACGTGACCAAATAAAGTCTAGATCATTTATTTATTATAGAGAAAGTAAAAGTTGAAAAGTCTTTTGGTAGGTAGAGAGGGGGTAAACGTCAAACCACGTCGGGCGGCTCCGAGAATTTCACAGTAATGTTTACCCGCCAGTGTCGTTTCATAGAATAAGTAATTTTAAATTGTTATCGGCGGAACCGCACAATCGCATGTATTTATGGATTATAAATAATTATTGAACATGTATTATAATATTCAAATTATAATTTTACAAAATTTCAACAGCTATTCACAATTTATTAAACTATTTACTCGAAATTGTTATTAACATCTATAAAATAATTTTGTACGCCAATGTATCGCGTCCACTTCGGTGAGATCCGCTGACAACCTGTCAATTTATGTGTATAAAGTGGGAGAACTGGCAAAAGCATTTCCAACTTTTACTTCTGTTCTACATCTACATTCAGATCTAATACTCTATCACGTGATAAATAATTCACAACATCTCAGATGCATCCGATGTGGATTCTCAAACGCGGCACTACTTATAGGTGATAAATGACAGGCGCGCGAAAATTATTTTGAATCGCGAATGCGCTGGTTCAGTGTGATGTCATTTTGGTTCTACTGACATTTAATTCTAACCAAACTTTTAACAAAAACATCAATAAATTTGACATATACGTTTTTACTGTTTTTAGTTTATTTCTAAATATTGTTTACAGGTCATAAAAAATAGTTTAAAGGTATGTAATTGGTAACTAAACGATTGTATATTTGATGCATATTATCTACTTACTTTAGGAATATATTTATAAAAGTGAAAAAACGATATAATTTAGGTAAACAAAACGAACAAAACGCACGCAAAAAATCTACTGTCACTTTAATTGTCAGTGGAACCATAATTACATCATCAGAGGGGGGTTATTTTCAAACTCGAGAGAAAGGAGTGCTCTATTGAGAGAAAGGAGTGCTCTATCGAGAGAAAGGTAGTATGTGACTTGGCCTTGTACACACATCGGTTATGGGTACACACATGGAGGAAGGGTACCCACGCCCCTAATCACGTGGTCAAATTCTCCTGAGAATATGAATTCTCTCGAAATAAACCGAGAGAAAAGGTCAGTGAGTAGCAATGAACTGAAGTGGGGTAGAAAGCTAATGTGCATATTGTATCAATTGAACAAGATGCGACTCTATAGGCGCAGCCATTTTTATTTCTCATCTCACTCGGGAGTATTTATAATAACCATTTTCTGTTTCACATTGTTATTGCTCAATCCACAGGCTGGTGGATCAGACAATAACAAAGTGAAATAGAAAATGGTCGTTATAAATACTCCCGAGTGAGACGAAAAATAACCTTCTTCGACCATAGAGTCGCATCTCAAGCCTATTGACAAGCATTCTACCCCTACAGTTTCCACGGTGACATATGACATTTCTCCTGAAATCTTGAGAGAAATGAGTACTCACACGGTTTGAAAATAGGTCACCGGGGGCTATTTTCAAAGTATGGGAGCATTCATTTCTCTCAAGATTCTCATCAGAAATGTCATACGTCAATGTGGAAATGTTGTTTTTAAAGGCATCGAGGATTAAAATTCTTAGGAAGATTTTAATTCTCTCTAAATAAACCGAGAGAAACAGTCAGTGAATTCACACTGGCCCTAAGAGCCCTAAAAATACGGTTTTACGTTGACGTATGACATTTCTCTTGAGAGAAATGAATTATCTCGAGTTTGAAAATAGCCCCTCTGAACTAGCGTATTGACAACATACACATTGGCATTCTATCCCACTCCAGTTCATTGGCTTAGGGGCGCGACGCGTTGTGTACGTGATTCGTAAATGGTTAAGAAGCCGTCTTTTTATTCGTTTACAATCATTTATTTGTAGAATACTTGCGATTTTGCGATTTTTTAATTTAGTTTGTTTATAAGTTAGTGTTGTGTTTTATAAAAATGATCTTAAACAATATGCCTGGTGTTTAAATACGTACATCTGTTTGAATTTAAATACTTTCTCTATAAGCAGGGAGCATTTTTGGGATTTATTTCAATATCAGATTCAACAGGACATGGTT